TTGGACATAAACAGTTGCATTCATGAGTTTTATTGAAAAATGTAAACAAACAAATAAGTATCCACCAAGCAAAAATGAATGAATATCCATTTAGTCAGTGACAACTTTGTGGAGTTTGGAGTTTGTGACAGCAACTATGTGAGCTTAAAGACACTATGTCCTGGGATTTCCTATGATCTTCTATGTAGAAGAACCCCTTACCTTCTAACGACTCTTATGTGGCTTGTAAGCGTCATATAGCAAAAGAGATGTAAAAAATACATGTGTGTGTTCGTGATAGTCTCAGCTTTTCATAGTGGGGTCATCATGGACAACATGCATATTCATAAATAAAGGCACATGGCACACGACACACACACACAAGCACGCACACACAAACACACACACACACACACTTTCCATAACTTTTTCTCATGAACCTTGACTCATGCTCCGTTAAGCACTGAGAGGGCTCGTTGCCTTGATTTGATTCACAGTATTGTGACTGAATCAGGATCTGTCTGGAGCAGCAGAAACAGGAAAAAACATCCAGATAAAAACTGCAGGATGACAAGCCAGAGGCCAAAGGAGAGAAGCCTCCAACATACCCTACAGTACATGTCTGTGGTACATGCCCTACAGTACATGCCCTACAGTACATGCCCTACAGTACATGCCCTACAGTACATGCCTACAGTACATGTCCATGGCCTGTACGCCTAGAGTTGCTATGTGAATAATTCAAGTAAGGCATTTACTTCTTCCTGATACCATTAGTGTTTGATAACTACTGTTCAAAATTGTAATCTTCAAGCCTGTCTTTTGCCACCCTTTCACCCACCCTTTCCAACAGGCATAACTTATTCTGTTCCCTTATCCCTGCTAAGCTCAGTGAATGATGCTTAAGGCATTTTGCCCCAATGGTCAAAGTTAGGATTTACAGTAGGGAGGATGATCTGATCCTAGATCAGTGCCTAAAGGTGACTTCCGCTAAACATTTACCAGCCAATGTTTTGTACGGATTCACTCTTCTAGTCACTGCTGTTAGCGTCCTCTCATGGTGGTTTTCTCAGCATTGACCCTGTCCCTGTATTAATGCCCCCGTCTTACAGGGTTGGGGTCAATTTGGAATTTCTGAATTTCCTTCAATACAAACAATGATTTTGAATTTAATTTCAATTGGCCACACCCCACAGGAGGCAGAATTTGAATTGAATTTGATTTGAAGGAAGTAGAATTTTATTCAAAGCAATTCAAAACAATTCACCTGAGATGTGAACCTTGAAATTTAGTTAATAAAGCCACATACAAACATGGTCTCTTTTTTTGCTTGAGTAAGGCAGCTCCAAAATGCAGGAATTTCAGCCTAGCTCAGTGCTTTCTGTTGTGCTGGGGCAGCCAGTGAAAAATATGGAGCGTAGGGGCTGGTAATGTTCTCTGGTTGCGCTGTGATTGGCTCAGTGTTACAGTGGGGAAAAAAAGTATTTAGTCAGCCACCAATTGTGCAAGTTCTCCCACTTAAAAAGATGAGAGAGGCCTGTAATTTTCATCATAGGTACACGTCAACTATGACAGACAAAATGAGAAAAAAAAAATCCAGAAAATCACATTGTAGGATTTTTAATGAATTTATTGGCATATGATGGTGGAAAATAAGTATTTGGTCAATAACAAAAGTTTCTCAATACTTTGTTATATACCCTTTGTTGGCAATGACACAGGTCAAACGTTTTCTGTAAGTCTTCACAAGGTTTTCACACACTGTTGCTGGTATTTTGGCCCATTCCTCCATGCAGATCTCCTCTAGAGCAGTGATGTTTTGGGGCTGTCGCTGGGCAACACAGACTTTCAACTCCCTCCAAAGATTTTCTATGGGGTTGAGATCTGGAGACTGGCTAGGCCACTCCAGGACCTTGAAATGCTTCTTACGAAGCCACTCCTTCGTTGCCCGGGCGGTGTGTTTGGAATCATTGTCATGCTGAAAGACCCAGCCACGTTTCATCTTCAATGCCCTTGCTGATGGAAGGCGGGTTTCACTCAAAATCTCACGATACATGGCCCCATTCATTCTTTCCTTTACACGGATCAGTCGTCCTGGTCCCTTTGCAGAAAAACAGCCCCAAAGCATGATGTTTCCAACCCCATGCTTCACAGTAGGTATGGTGTTCTTTGGATGCACTCAGCATTCTTTGTCCTCCAAACATGATGAGTTGAGTTTTTACCAAAAAGTTATATTTTGGTTTCATCTGACCATATGACATTCTCCCAATCCTCTTCTGGATCATCCAAATGCACTTCAGACGGGCCTGGACATGTACTGGCTTAAGCAGGGGGACACGTCTCGCACTGCAGGATTTGAGTCCCTGGCGGCGTAGTGTGTTACTGATGGTTGGCTTTGTTACTTTGGTCCCAGCTCTCTGCAGGTCATTCACTAGGTCCCCCTGTGTTGTTCTGGGATTTTTGCTCACCGTTCTTGTGATCATTTTGACCCCACGGGTGAGATCTTGCGTGGAGCCCCAGATCGAGGGAGATTATCAGTGGTCTTGTATGTCTTCCATTTCCTAATAATTGCTCCCACAGTTGATTTCTTCAAACCAAGCTGCTTACCTATTGCAGATTCAGTCTTCCCAGCCTGGTGCAGGTCTACAATTTTGTTTTTGGTGTCCTTTGACAGCTCTTTGGTCTTGGCTATTGTGAAGTTTGGAGTGTGACTGTTTGAGGTTGTGGACAGGTGTCTTTTATACTGATAACAAGTTCAAACAGGTGCCATTAATACAGGTAACGAGTGGAGGACAGAGGAGCCTCTTAAAGAAGAAGTTACAGGTCTGTGAGAGCCAGAAATCTTGCTTGTTTGTAGGTGACCAAATACTTATTTTCCACCATAATTTGCAAATAAATTCATTAAAAATCCTACAATGGGATTTTCTGGATTTTTTTTTCTCAATTTGTCTGTCATAGTTGACATGTACCTATGATGAAAATTACAGGCCTCTCTCATCTTTTTAAGTGGGAGAACTTGCACAATTGGTGGCTGACTAAATACTTTTTTTCCCCAGTGTATGTCACTCATGGGGACACTCCATCACCAAATTTACGGGGAGAGCTCGAAAATTCAAGCCCTTTGGGTGCTGCCATAGAGTTAAATTAGAAGTGCCCATCCAAGAAGGCTCAAGGTCATTGGCCACAGATAAAATGACGTCAAATCACGTTATATCTACCGTAGCTTTGATTAGACTGATCATGTCAACATCGTACTTTTAAAATCTTAGCTCGCAATCTAGACAAGCGGTCATCATCATGAATCACGTCAACAATCTACTGGCAAATCCTTTTCAATCCTTGTCATATGAAGAGAAATTATAGATCAAACATATCGGTGCTCATCGTCCATTGGCCATAAACACTACACAACAATTTGGAAATTGCAAATTCAACAATGAGTGGTTTGGAAGGAATCAGTGACTAACTGCAAGCGTTGCAAAGCAATCACTAGCCTGTTATTCAGTTGAGTGGGTGTGTGGTCCAAGTCTGGGTTTAAAGGTATCTTTTCCAATCTGAAAAGGAGAAACATTCAACACCATGGGCCAGAAAAGGTTGACTACGTTGATCATGCTGTCAATTCAGCATGACTTCTGCCGTGTTCAAAACAACTGGAAACTCGGAACTGGGAAATCTCAGACTTCAGTGAGTTCAAGACAACTGGGCACTTGGAAGAAAACGACCTCCGTCTGAGAAACAACGTTGTGAACGGTCATCCAACTCGGAATTCCAAGTCAGGAACTCGGGCCTCTTTCTAGAGCTCCAACATGAAGATCACTGACGTCATTTTCCCACAAGGCCCCGGTGCCACCTTCTTGTTCAAGTGAGCACAGCACAACAAGGTGAGTCCAAACATGTATTGTATGCTGCTGCATAAATTATGTAATATGCCAGGGAGATACGTATACTGTAGGTAGGAAAGTAATACTGTGTATGTTGTGTAGTAAGCTGTTAGTAGCCCATGTGCCTCACCCTAATAATTTGGTCCCTTTCACCGTCATAACTTAGCCTACTGTTCTGACTTGATGGTGCACATGTAGCCTATAGCCTGTTTTAGAGAAATGTAATCATCGAATATTGTAAGAGTGTTCATTGTCTGCTTATATGCCCCCTTTATCTATCCTACGGTTCTGACTTGGTGTACAGGGAGAATACTGTAAGAATGGCCCATGTTCTGAATTCTGTCACTGTACATTTCAAAAGTGCTGAACAAATAGTTACATTGACTATGTCTGTCCTAGCTCGCTCATTAATGTCTTAATCGAAATTACGGATTACCTCTTATACGCTTCTTGTCCCCTTATGCCATAGTTTGTACATCTCAATTGTCAGTAGAAACCACATTTGTTTAAGCAAGTCAGCCATATCAGCTATGTTTTTTTAAATGTCTGGAAATTAGGCTGAATGACCTGTTTCGCTGCCAGACAAGGCTCTGCTGATAGCCAGGTGTAGCAGTGGTAAGGATTCACTCCATGGTGCTGAAAAGAAAGCTTTGCTGTTGCGACAGCTTTATGTAGGCCCTAACAGTTTGTTTGCACCGTTATGATACTGATACCGTTATAGTGCAATTAATGTATTGTTTAGTGTTGTGTTGTGTAGTGGCTTTGCTGGAATGCATAATATGTTTTGTATAATTTTTTGCCCCACCAAGATTGACATGCTAAAATCGCCACTGTATATATATAGATAGATAGATAGATAGATAGATAGATAGATAGATAGATAGATAGATAGATAGATAGATAGATAGATAGATAGATAGATAGATAGATAGATAGATAGATAGATAGATAGATAGATAGATAGATAGATAGATAGATAGATAGATAGATAGATAGATAGATAGATAGATAGATAGATAGACAGTTCAATCAAATATAAGAATTGAACTGGAATTAAAGGGCAATTCGCTAATCAATTCAGAATTGAACCCAGCCCTGCTGTCTTGACCACAATGGGTGGCCTGTCTGGCCATGTGAGAAATGGAGGGATGTCTTGGTTCCCAGGAGGAGACAGGCTTGGTCTGGATCAGGCTTGGTAATGGAGGACAGTCTCTCTCTTTCATCCCTCTAATAATCCCTAGTTTCTGGCCATGTTTACGTTAGCACATTTTCCCAATAGTGCCGGAGGAGACTGACCTCATGAGAACATTGAATGACTCACTCTTTTCTTTCTTTTTTTTCATCCATCCATCCCTCCTACTTCTAACCAGGATGTACTGTGGGACATGGGAAGAGTCTAAGCATCCCTTCTCTGCATGTCCTTTTTTGGAAAATAGAGTTTTACAGAGATGTGCTTTACGTATGATCACTGTCCTCTATATTTTCCATACCATACCATACGATGTCCGTGCCTAATTAGCATAATAACAAAATCCCCATAAAAATCTGTCAGTTAAAGCTACAGATATCAGTTTTTGCATTGGATGCGTCTCAATCCACCGCATCTGCCTATGTCGCACATATGCATCTGCGGTGAAAGGTCACAGAGCTAGAGCGGTGTTTGTCAGACCATGAGACATCCCAAAATTGGTGTTCTCACAAAATCATCTGTAGCATCCGAACGGTTTGGCCTACAAACTATTATGGATGACTATAGAACACAATGGTTTTCTCCATTTTGCTCTATGACCCCCACAAGCATCTTGGGACTCGTCTGAAGTTGCTACAGCCGATCTGTCTGTAGAATCTGAACAGTTTGGGCTACACACTAATATGACCCCTCTGTGGAAAGGTGTGACATGTTGGTTGTTTTGCTCTAGGATACCTTTGCACACTCTTGGCATTCTCTCAACCAGCTTCATGAGGTAGTCACCTGGAATGCATTTCAATTAACAGGTGTGCCTTGTTAAAAGTTAATTTGTGGAATTTATTTCCTTCTTAATGTGTTTGAGCCAATCAGTTGTGTTGTGACAAGGTAGGGGTGGTATACAGAAGATAGCCCTATTTGGTAAAACACCAAGTCCATATTATGGCAAGAACAGCTCAAATAAGCAAAGAGAAACGGCAGTCTATCATTACTTTAAGACATGAAGATCAGTCAATGCAGAAAATTTGAAGAACTTTTAAAGTTTCTTCAAGTGCGGTCGCAGAAACCATCAAGCGCTCTGATGAAACTGGCTCTTATGTGGACCACCACAGGAAAGGAAGACACATAGTTACCTCTGCTGCAGAGGATAAGTTCATTAGAGTTAACTGCATCTCAGATTGTGCCCAAATAAATGCTTCACAGAGTTCAAGTAACAGACACATCTCAACATCAACTGTTCAGAGGAGACTACGTGAATCAGGCCTTCATGGTCGAATTGCTGCAAAGAAACCACTACTAAAGGACATCAATAAGAATAAGAGACTTGCTAGGGCCAAGAAACACAAGCAATGGAAATCTGTCCTTGTCACGCTCATTGAATACAGGATTGGACCAATGTGCAGCGTGGAATGCATACATGTTTATTCGCTAAGTTAACACACGACAAAACAACAAAAGCAACGTAACGTGAAGCTCACAATGGCTACACACAAACAAGCCAAACAAGAGTCAAGATCCCACAACATAGGTAGGCAAAATGGGTACCTAAGTATGATCCCCAATCAGAGACAACGATCAAAAGCTGCCTCTGATTGGGAACCACACCTGGCCAACATAGATCTACAAACATAGAATGTACACATAGAAATTCACATACATAGATATTCACACCCTGACCAAACCAACTAGCGAACTTAACAGGGGAGGGTCCGGGTGGGCATCTAGCCTCGGTGGCGGCTCCGGCTCCGGGCATGACGTCCTCTCCCTTACTGCCTCCCCGTTGCACCCCTGGTCCGGTCTGGTCCTCAGCGCGATGCTTCCCCTCTCAGTCCTCCCACGATGCACCAAGCCCTGTCTGGACCCTGATGTGGGAGGCCCCGACCCTGGAGAGGGTTTGACGTCTGGTTCTGGAGTGGAGCCGCTGACCGGAGCTGAACTGGATCCCAGTGGAGCGGACTGCTCTGGCTCTGGACTGGAGCAGCTGACCGGGGCTGGACTAGGCACCGGTAGAGTGGACTGCTCTGGCACTGGAGTGGAGCAGCTGACCGGAGCTGGACTGGGCACCGGTGGAGCGGACTGCTCTGGCACTGGAGTGGAGCAGCTGACCTGAGCTGGACTAGGCACTGGTAGAGCGGACTGCTCTGGCACTGGAGTAGAACCGCTGACCGGAGCTAGACCAGGCACCGGTGGAGCGGACTGCTCTGGCACCAGCCGTACCGGGCTGGGGACACGCACCACTGGTCTGGTGCGAGGAACAGGCATGGGCCGCACCGGGCTGGGAACACGCACCACTGGTCTGGTGTGAGGAGCAGGCACGAGCCATGCCGGACTGGAGACACGCACCACTGGTTTGGTGCGAGGAGCAGGCACGGGCCGTGCCGGACTGGGAACACGCACCACTGGTCTGGTGCGAGGAGCAGGCACGGGCTGTGCCGAACTGGAGACACGCACCACTGGTTTGGTGCGAGGAGCAGGCACGGGCCGTGCCGGACTGGGAACACGCACCACTGGTCTGGTGCGAGGAGCAGGCACGGGCTGTGCCGAACTGGAGACACGCACAAACTGGTCTGGTGCGAGGAGCAGGCACGGGCCGTGCCGGACTGGGAACACGCACCACTGGTCTGGTGCGAGGAGCAGGTACGGGCCGTACCGGACTGGATACACGCACCACTGGTTTGGTGCGGGGAACAGGTACGGGCCGTACCGGGCTAGCGACATGCACCGCTGGTTTGGTGCGAGGATTAGGCACGGGCCGTACCGGACAGGATACACGCACCACTGGATTGGTGCGGGGAGCAGGTACGGGGCGTACCGGGCTAGCGACACGCACCACTGGCTTGGTGCGGGGAGCAGGTATGGGCCGTACCGGACTGGATACACGCACCACTGGTTTGGTGCGGGGAGCAGGCACGGGACGTACCAGGCTGGGGAGGCACACTGGTGACACAGTGCGTAGAACCGGAGCAGGATATACTGGACCGTGGAGGCGTACTGGAGGTCTGGAGTGTAAAGCTGGCACAACTCATCCTGGCTGGATGCCCACTTTCGCACGGTACGTGCGGGGCATTGGCACAGGACGCACTGGGCTGTGAAGGCGCACTGGCGACACAGTGCGTATCTCCGCATAACTGGGTTCCTCAATGAAAACACGCTCCTTCTGTTGCCTGGCCAGCTCCTCTCTCCGTGCATCCACTAATTCCTTCTCCCTTTGGGCCTCCTGCAGCGCCTCCTTCTGAAGTGAGAGCTCCTGCTCCCTCTTCTCTAACAGCCCCCGTAATGTGGTGGCCTCCTCTCTCATACTGCTGATCCGCAGGTCTTGGAGGACCTCTCAATAGCGGCCTCCTCCTCCACAGTCAGCCCTTTCACGGACTCCTGCTGCTTCATCGAGTACACTGTGTGCCCCCCCCCCCCCCCCCCCCCCCAAAAAAAAAAAAGAATATTGGTGTTGCCTCTCAGGTCTCCTTCGTCGTTTCGCATTTTGGAGTCGCAGTCTTTTCTCCCTCGCTGCCTCTGTTTGCTCCCAAGGAAGGCGATCCATACCATCCTGGATCTCTTCCCACGTCCATGATCCTTTTCCTTCCAGTATCTCCTCCCATGTCCAGGCTCTTTGCTTTTCCTGGGCACGCTGCTTGGTCCGTTGGTGGTGGGATCTTCTGTCACGCTCGTTGAATACAGGATTGGACCAAGGTGCAGCATGGAATGCATACATGTTTATTCGCTAAGTTAACACACGACAAAACAACAAAAGCAACGTAATGTGAAGCTCACAATGGCTACACACAAACAAGCCAAACAAGAGTCAAGATCCCACAACATAGGTAGGCAAAATGGCTACCTAAGTATGATCCCCAATCAGAGACAACGATCGACAGCTGCCTCTGATTGGGAACCACACCCAGTCAACATAGATCTACAAACATAGAATGTACACATAGAAATTCACATACATAGATATTCACACCCTGACCAAACCAACTAGCAAACTCTATGTCAGGGCGTGACAGTCCTTTGGTCTGATGAGTCCAAATTTGAGATTTTTGGTTCCATCCGCCGTGTCTTCGTGAGACACAGAGTAGGTGAACGGATGATCTCCGCATTTATGGTTCCCACTGTAAAATATGAGTTGTTTATCAATTCGAAGGACCAATAAAAAAGGGATAAAAAACGTAGGTGCTGGATTTTAGGCCGGTAGCAACCACCACAGAAAGTCAGTTCAGAGCACGAGGAAGCAGTAGTTCCAGTTCAAGGTTTAATGAAGATCCACATACACACATACAACACCACTCTCTCTGATACTAATTGTGGTTCTTAATTAATAGGCTATAGCTCCTCACGACGCAGGAAGCGAGTCACTCAACCTCCGTAAACCCACTTTAGAAACCAGGGATGGATAAAGTATCTTACCCCCCCCCCCCCCCACCCCCAAAAAAAAAAAAAAAAAAAAAATGTAAAGGGTATCCCCTATATAGGTCACCTAGTAGTCGCCGGTAGAGGTCTGAAAAACGTAAATGACTATTTGCATGTCAACAACTAAACAGGCTATGTGGAACCCCAAACCCATGATAGATGGCACAAAGAAACAATAGAGGCACTGTAAGAATATCTACACATCATAATACAAAACATAATAAGCATTGAGCGATCTACAAAACCAAAAATAGCCTAGCACACCACCAACAACCAATGCTAATCGCTATAAGCATGCTAATAGTAAATGCATTCTTGGATGAGGCAAGGCGAATTCTAAATGCTAAATGCTAATGCAAGCTAGCTAGCTAACAAGTTAAACCACAAATGGTACGATTTACAACAAGACCACTATTTAGCTCCCAAACCAACAAGACAGCAGGATTTTGGCACTTACATTTAGCTGTACGCACAATAAACATCAGAAAGAAAAGCAATTTCTTCTAAGGAGGTAGAATAAGCAGGAGAGAAAAACAGGTTGGTCATCAGAATGGAAACTACAGACTGCCTGAGTCCCTGCCTGGTCGGGTATTACATTAAGGCTCCTGATTGGCTAATAAAATTCTGATGATTGGCATGACCTAAATCCAATAGGAAAACCAAAAGAAAGTTGGGGTTCTTGGAAAGGAGATGAGCTGGCCATTTTTACACCCACCATGACGCATGGAGGAGGAGGTGTGATGGTGTGGGGGTGCTTTGCTGGTGACACTGTCGATGATTTATTTAGAATTCAAGGCACACTTAACCAGCATGGCTACCACAGCATTCTGCAGCAATACGCCATCCCATATGGTTTGCGCTTAGTGGGACAATCATTTGTTTTTCAACAGGACAATGACTCAAAACACACCTCCAGTCTGTGTAAGGGCTATTCGACCAAGAAAGAGAGTGATGGAGTGCTGCATCAGATGACCTGGCCTCCACATTTACATTTTAGTCATTTATCCAGAGCGACTTACAGTTAGTGAGTACATATATTTTCATACTTCTTCATACTGGCCCCCCGTGTGAATCAAACCCACAACCCTGGCTTTGCAAACACCATGCTCTACCAACTGAGCTACATGGGACATTCACCCGACCTCAACCCAATTGAGATGGTTTGGGATGAGTTGGACCGCAGAGTGAAGGAAAAGCAGCCAACAAGTGCACAGCATATGTGGGAACTCCTTCAAGACTGTTTGAAAAGCATTCCTCATGAAGCTGGTTAAATGAATGCCAAGAGTGTGCAAAGCTGTCTTCAAGGCAAAGGGTGGCTAATATAAAATATATTTTGATTTGTTTAACACTTTTGTGGTTACTACATGATTACATATGTGTTATTTCATAGTTTTGAAGTCTTCGCTATTATTCACAAATGTAGAAAATATAAAAAATGTAGAAAAACCCTTGAATGAGTAGGTGTGTCCAAACTTTTGACTGGTACTGTATATATGGACACTGTTTAGTGCCAAAAATAAGGGTTTAAATACATGAAAAAAAAAGAAAAAAAAAATCGATTATTTCTCATATCTCTCCTGATATAGGACAGACACAGTACAACAAACTTCCATTTTGATTTTTTTAAGGGACTATCTTTTGTTCCATGTAGTGAATCTGTTATTCAATGTGTTTGTTTGGGATAAGGCCCCAACATTTTTTTCATCAGATATTTATTTTGTATATTAATTTTTTATACTTCAAGGGGTCTTACAATTCTAAATCAAATAGCAAAATGATCCTTGGTATGGCCTTCTTAAAACAATTCCATATAGCTTAGTAGAACCCCCTCCCCCGGCATAGACAGGGCTTGGACTCTTATGGGTTAATTGGTTATAATATGGATGAGCTATAGTACTGTGGACCAGCCAGCGCCACAGCTGTCTTTCCCTTAGTCAAGTAAGGCTGTAGTGTTTATTCATCATCAATAGTGATCAGGGATATTATGTATCCCGTAGACATGTACAGTGCATTCGGAAAGTATTCAGACACCTTTACTTTTTCAAAATGTTGTTACGTTACAGCCTTATTCTAAAATTGACCCCCCCCCCCCCCCCCCCCCCCCCCCAAAAAAAAATAATAAAAAAATCCCATCAATCTATAAACACAATACCACACAATGACAAAGCGAAAACTGGTTTTTAGGAATTTTTGCACATTTATAAAAAAATAAAACATAAATACTTTATTTACGTAAGTATTCAGACCCTTTGCTATGAGACTCGAAATTGAGCTCAGGTGCATGCTTTTCCCTTTGATCATCCTTGAGATATTTCTACAACTTGATTGGAGTCCACCTGTGGTAAATTCAATTGATTGAACATGATTTGGAAAGGCACACACCTGTCTATATAAGGTCCCACAGTTAACAATGCATGTCAGAGCAAAAACCAAGCCATGAGGTTGAAGGAATTGTCCATAGAGCTCCGAAACAAGATTGTGTCGAGGCACAGATCTGGGGAAGGGTACCAAAAAATTCTGCAGCATTGAAGATCCCCAAGAACACAGTGGCCTCCATCATTCTTAAATGGAAGAAGTTTGGAACCAGCAAAACTCTTCCTAGAGCTGTCCACCCGGCCAAACTGAGCAATCGAGGTGACCAAGAACCCGATGGTCACTCTGACAGAGCTCCAGAGTTCCTCTGTGGAGATGGTAGAAACTTCCAGAAGGACAACCATTTCTGCAGCGCTCCACCAATCAGGCCGTTATGGTAGAGTGGCCAGACGGAAGCCACTCCTCAGTAAAAGGCACATGACAGCACGCTTGGAGTTTGCCAAAAGGCACCTAAAAGACTCTCAGACCATTATTGAACTCTTTGGCCTAAATGCCAAGCGTCACGTCTGGAGGAAACCTGGCACCATCCATATGGTGAAGCATGGTGGTGGCAGCATCATGCTGTGGGGATGTTTTTCAGCAGCAGGGACTGGGAGACTAGTCAGGATCGAGGGAAAGATGAACAGAGCAAAGTACAGAGAGATCCTTGATGAAAACATGCTCCAGAGCACTCAGGACCTCAGACTGTGGTGACCTTCCAACAGGACAACGACCCTAAGTACACAGCCAAGACAACACAGGAGTGGCTTCAGGACAAGTATCTGAATGTCCTTGAGAGGCCCAGCCAGAGCCCGGACTTGAACCTGATATAACATCTCTGGAGAGACCTGAAAATGGCTGTGCAGCGACACTCCCCATCCAAACTGACAGAACTTGAGAGGATCTTTGGGAGAAACTCCCCAAATCCAGGTGTGCCAAGCTTGTAGCGTCATACCCAAGAAGACTCAATGCTGTAATTGCTGCCAAAGGAGCTTCAACAAAGTACTGAGTAAAGGGTCTGAATACTTAAATAAATGTGATATTTCAGTTTTTTTTATTTAATACATTTGCAAAAATTTCAAAAAACCTGTTTTTTTAATTTTTAATACATTTAAGAATAAGGCTGTAACGTAACAAAATGTTGAAAAGGTCAAGGGGTGTGAATAATTTCCGAATGCACTGTACCTTTAATCTCTATTCTTTAATGTCTATAATAAATCCTTGCAAAACATCTGCATCAACTAGATTATACCGAAGACTGTGTGGGTGTCTGTGTGTGTTTGGGGTGGACGATAACCCCCCCCCCCCCCCCCTCTCTCTCTCTCTCTCTCTCTCTCTTTCTCTGTTTAACCATGGCACGTATTCACAAAGCGTCTCAGAGTGCTGATGTAGGATCAGGTCACCCCTGTCCATATGATCTCATTCATTGTGATTAAAAAAGGCTAAACTGATCCTAGATCAGCACTCCTGAGACGCTTTGTGAACTGGACCAGTCCTCTGAGGCGCTTCCGCTCCCAAACCCCTGTGTGCTCCTAGTCCCCCTGATCCCTGATGATTAGTTATTATTAGGAGGGGGGGGGGGGGGACATTCTGACCATGTCTCTGGGGGACGCTGTCCTGTCCACAATGGGAGTAGACACTGTAAATCCACCATGGACTGAGTGTACACACACACACAAACACACACATGCACAGATACACATACACACGCACACATACAAACATACACACACATGCACAGACACGCACTCTAATACACACGTACACACACACACACACACACACACACACAAACACACATGCACAGATACACTCTTAGGAAAAAAAGGTGCTATCTAGAACCTAAAAGGGTTCTTCGGCTGTCCCCTTAGGAGAACCCTTTGAAGAACCCTTTTTGGTTCCAGGTAGAACCCTTTTGAGAGGGTTCTAAATGGAACCCAAAAGAGTTCTACATGGAACCAAAAAAGGTTCTATCTGGAGCCAAAAAGGGTTCTCCTATGGGGATAGCTGAAGAACCCTTTTGGAACCCTTTCTTCTAAGAGTGTACACACACACACACACACACACACACACACACAGGCTGTACTCCAAAAACAATTCCATGCAGTTACGTGCCCCCCACAAGTCCCACTTCAGACCGCTTTCTCATAACACATTATTTTCTTCTCACACTCAGGTCGGAGGGCTAAATCTGACTAAGCGATGGTGTATTATGGGAATAGGTTTCTACTTCAGATTGTAGTGGAGGTGGATGGGGGACCTTACCACTGTAGTCCCTTGGCTTGGTTGTCTTTGATATCCTCTCTGGTGGACAGTGTTGACGTGTGGAAGGGGAAAGTTTAGAGAGGAGTGAGGCCTTTCAGCAGGAGTGGAAGAGCACAGGGCAGATAACCAGTGGTACAGCAAAACCTTTACCTTAGAAAGAGCCCGCTAAGAGTTGAGGCACACCCAGTCACTCTTTCCATGAGAACTTTCTACTGTTCTATGTACGCAAGCAAGTCACCTTGTCCTAGAGAGATTTAAACGGATATCAAAATGTCACACCAGGATAAGCCTACACGAAACACAGCCCTTATTTAGTATTTCTGAAATACCCTATGGGAAAAAATGAATGGTGGAAAAACAATTGGAACCATTTCCCTGTTTGACTGCTAGGTGTTATGGGTATTATGACTCATACTGTGGTACTCTATAGTGTAGTGGAGGATAAAAAGACCTGTGTGCCTATGGATTTGAGCTATGTAGTCAATCTGTGTATGGACCCTAAAACGTTTACATATTAGTTCAGAACACTGGTTTTAATTGCTTCTACTGGTTAATCATTAATCCCCAAGAAATTATAGAAAATAACTGAGTGAAGGAAATGCGACTGTTACATGTCAAACTGCTCTTATGGAATCAATCCTGCTTCACTACTACTCCACATTGAACCACAGTCAGAGGATGGGTACATTACGGGCACATTGTTGTTTTGAAGTTCAAATTTGTTGCTCATGTAGTATGTATGTATTAGTTGCATGAGGAATATAAGGTAAGCTATTACTGATGCCAATACAGACATTGTGAAAAACACTAGGCTCATAGTCAATTCATTGCGTGGTAGGCTATCTTTTGGTGGCTTCTGTTGTGCAGGAGTGATGTAGTGATGTCCTATTTCCTAGGGTTACATATCTCTCCCTACCGCTAGTTGCTCCGTTTTCTATACATTTGAGGCTACTAAGCCCATTAAACTGGTCCGCAACATTCTTGATATGTTTAGCAAGCTCAGACTCCATGTCATCAGATAAGACCTTGTGTGACTCTGCTACTCTATCATAGCTTCTCTTCCAGACAGGTACATGTTTGTTTTATTTTTTGTCAATGTACCTCTTTAATGTCGTTAAGTCTATTTTTCGTCCCTTGCTGCTGCTCAAATGGATGTATAGCCTTTCCTCACTTCATTGGCTGCTCTCTCAAGAAGCTCAAGGGGGACTAGACCTCTGCTTGTTTTACGTACAGTGAGGGAAAAAAGTATTTGATCCCCTGCTGATTTTGTACGTTTGCCCACTGACAAAGACATGATCAGTCAATAATTTTAATGGTAGGTTTATTTGAACAGTGAGAGACAGAATAACAACAAAATAATCCAGAAAAACGCATGTCAAAAATGTTATAAATTGATTTGCATTTTAATGAGGGAAATAAGTATTTGACCCCTCTGCAAAACATGACTTAGTACTTGGTGGCAATAACCTTGTTGGCAATCACAGAGGTCAGACGTTTCTTGTAGTTGGCCACCAGGTTTGCACACATCTCAGGAGGGATTTTGTTCCACTCCTCTTTGCAGATCTTCTCCAAGTCATTAAGGTTTCGAGGCTGACGTTTGGCAACTGGAACCTTCAGCTCCCTCCACATATTTCCTATGGGATTAAGGTCTGGAGACTGGCTAGGCCACTCCAGGACCTTAATGTGCTTCTTCTTGAGCCACTCCTTTGTTGCCTTGGCCATGTGTTTTGGGTCATTGTCATGCTGGAATACCCATCCACGACCCATTTTCAATGCCCTGGCTGTGGGAAGGAGGGCTTCACCCAAGAATTGATGGTACATGGCCCCGTCCATCGTCCCTTTGATGCGGTGAAGTTGTTCTGTCCCCTTAGCAGAAAAACACCCCCAAAGCATAATGTTTCCACCTCCATGTTTGACGGTGGGGATGGTGTTCTTGGAGTCATAGGCAGCATTCCTCCTCCTCCAAACACGACGAGTTGAGTTGATGCCAAAGAGCTCAATTTTGGTCTCATCTGACCACAACACTTTCACCCAGTTCTCCTCTGAATCATTCAGATGTTCATTGGCAAACTTCAGACGGGCATGTATATGTGCTTTCTTGAGCAGGGGGACCTTGCGGGAGCTGCAGGATTTCAGTCCTTCACGGCGTAGTGTTACCAATTGTTTTCTTGGTGACTATGGTCCCAGCTGCCTTTAGATCATTGACAAGATCCTCCCTTGTAGTTCTGGGCTGATCCCTCACCGTTCTCATGATCATTGCAACTCCACGAGGTGAGATCTTGCATGGAGCCCCAGGCCGAGGGAGACAGTCTTTTGTGTTTCTTCCATTTGCGAATAATCACACCAACTGTTGTCACCTTCTCACCAAGCTGCTTGGCAATAGTCTTGTAGCCCATTCCAGCCTTGTGTAGGTCTACAATTTTGTCCCTGACATCCTTGGAGAGCTCTTTGGTCTAGGCCATGGTGGAGAGTTTGGAATCTGATTGATTGATTGCTTCTGTGGACAGGTGTCTTTTATACAGGTAACAAGCTGAGATTAGGAGCACTCCCTTTAAGAGTGTGCTCCTAACCTCAGCTCGTTACCTGTATAAAAGACACCTGGGAGCCAGAAATCTTTCTGATTGAGATGGGATCAAATACTTATTTCCCTCATTAAAATGCAAATCAATTTATAACATTTTTGACATGCATTTTTCTGAATTTTTTTGTTGTTATTCTGTCTCTCACTGTTCAAATAAACCTACCATTAAAATTATAGACTGATCATTTCTTTGTCAGTGGGCAAACGTACAAAATCAGCAGGGGATCAAATACTTTTTTCCCTCACTGTATGTATACACAGGGCATGATGATGTGTGAACTCTGTAACAATAAAATGCACCATCTTGATTTCATAATGTATACAGTTGAAGTCGGAAGTTTACATACACTTAGGTTGGAGTCTTTAAAACGTGTTTTTCAACCTCTCCAAAAATGTATTGTTAACAAACTATGTCGTTTAGGACATCTACTTTGTGCATGACACAATTAATACAGAAAGATTATTTCACTTATAATTCACTATATCACAATTCTAGTGGGTCAGAAGTTTACATACACTAAGTTGACTGTGCCATTAAACAGCTTGGAAAATTCCAGAAAATGATGTCATGGCTTTAGAAGCTTCTGATAGGCTAATTGACATAATTTGAGTCAATTGGAGGTATACCTGTGGATGTATTTCAAGGCCTACATTCAAATTCAGTGCCTCTTTGCTTGACATCATGGGAAAATCTAAAGAAATCAGCCAAAACCTCAGAAAAAAGTTGCAGACCTCCACAAGTCTGATTCATCCATGGGAGCAATTTCCAAACGCCTGAAGGTACCACGTTCATCTGTACAAACAATAGTACGCAAGTATAAATACCATGGGACCACGCAGCCGTCATACCGCTCAGGAAGGAGACGCGTTCTGTCTCCTAGAGATGAACGTACTTTGGTGCGAAAAGTGCAAATCAATCCCAGAACAACAGCAAAGGACCTTGTGAAGATGCTGGAGGAAACAGGTACAAAAGTATCTATATCCACAGTAAAACAAGTCCTATATCGACATAACCTGAAAGGCCACTCAGCAAGGAAGAAGCCACTGCTCCAAAACCCCCATAAAAAATGTTTGCAACTGCACATGGGGACAAAGATCGTACTTTTTGGAGAAATGTCCTCTGGTCTGAGGAAACAAAAATAGAACTGTTTGGCCATAATGACCATCATTATGTTTGGAGGAAAAAGGGGAAAGCTTGCAAGCCGAAGAACACCATCCCAACCGTGAAGCAAGGGGGTGGCAGCATCATGCTATGGGGGTGGTTTGCTGCAGGAGGGACTGGTGCACTTCACAAAATAGATGGCATCATGAGGAAGGAAAATTATGTGGATATGTTGAAGCAACATCTCAAGACATCAGTCAGGAAGTTAAAGCTTGGTCGCAAATGGGTCTTCCAAATGGACAATGACCCCAAGCATACTTCCAAAGTTGTGGCAAAATGGCTTAAGGACAACAAAGTCAAGGTATTGGAGTGGCCATCACAAAGCCCTGACCTCAAACCTATAGAAAATGTGTGGGCAGCACTGAAAAAGCGTGTGCGAGCAAGGAGGCCTACAAACCTGACTCAGTTACACCAGCTCTGTCAGGAGGAATGGGCCAAAATTCACCCAACTTATTGTGGGAAGCTTGTGGAAGGCTACTCGAAACGTTTGACCCAAGTTAAACCATTTAAAGGCAATGCTACCAAATACTAATTGAGTGTATGTAAACTTCTGACCCACTGGGAATGTGATGAAAGAAATAAAAGCTGAAAGAAATCATTCTCTCTACTATTATTCTGACATTTCACATTCTTAAAATAAAGTGGTGATCCTAACTGACCTAAGACAGGGAAACAGCTACAAGGATGCACTTTCATGCTAGGTTTTGGACCTCATATTGTATCTTATAGGGACCCCAACTGATGTACAAAACAATCTTAAAACTATCTACAGTACATTGGTTTAGATACAAGCATTATAATACATCTGTGAAAATCTGTTTTTTGGATCTAACTTGCTTACCAGTTTTTCCATGTGGTTTCTTCCTTCATAGCCTCCATGAAATGATGACCTCTTGTTAAATATTTGGTCACATGATTCATGTTGTGTATGGTTTCCTAGAAACAAACTAACCCTTATGCTCAATTTACCCCACTCTCCCCTACCTACATAATGAAATAATATAATCCACTGAAAACACCTTAAAAATTATATGGATGTGGAGCATGGATGAACAGTTGCAGAAGGAACCCGCTGGCTCTCTATCCTCGTCTATGACCCATGACTTGTGAAGACAGAGAAAACATTGAGTCTTATCTTTTTATCAGTGAGATTACCAGGGGAAATGAAGACATTCCATAGTAGTCCAATAGGAGACCAGTGGCTGGTGTATGGATGGGTTTACTGCAACGGGACACTGCACTGAACAGACCAACTGTGGACTGTATTAGCCAGTTAACAACACCATTCTAGTCCCTTTTCCAAATGAAGCAAGAAAATTGGCACACAAATCGTTTTCTTCCAGAATTGAAGAAAAGCAGATATAGAACCATGTGGCGTAGGTGCTGGCCTATTTGCAAATGTGATGGATTTAACTCCTCTGAGTCATCACAGAGTCAGTTAGGCTCTTTTACGGTCTCTCTCATAAGATGTTCTTGTTTGCCATCATGTTTGCCAACAAGGTACTGCAATGGTACTTTGCACGAATAAAGGTTTTGTTAAGAGATCTTCTGTTTTCCCCTCATCTGGCTCCTTCTATGGTGCTTTGGATATACCGCCATCTAGTGGTTATAAGTGGTAATAAAGGGGGCAGCAGCAACTAGATCAAACTACAGTATAAAGAGAAAAACCATTGGGCACACCACGTCATTTCAAAGTAGATAATTGGGTAATATTTGGTTGAGACATTGATCAATGAGATTACAACCTATATTCACCCACTCAAAAAGACAGCCAAAAGTTAGTTGAATTTCCAATGTGTTCTCACTATGCTTTCAACCATCCAGGCTCTGTCGTAGCCGGCCGCGACCGGGAGACCCATGGGGCGGCGCACAATTATCCAGTGTCGTCCAGAGTAGGGGAGGGAAATGGCCGGCAGGGATGTAGAGCATGGCGTTTGCAACGCCAGGGTTGTGGGTTCAATTCCCACGGGGGGCCAGTATGAAAAATAAAATAATGTATGCACTCACTAACTGGAAGTCGCTCTGGATAAGAGCGTCTGCTAAAATGTAAAATCTAAAAGCACAACCAAGTTCAAAAGGGAATACAATTTCAGATATTTGTTTTTATTTATTGAACAGATTCATGTTTTATCACTGTGCTTCATCTAATAGCAGAACAAAATGACCTGGATTGCAGTTGATATTACTTTAAAAGTACACGGTGCAAGTGATCAATGCCGTTCAAGATTCTGCGCATATTATTAGAGCAATTGTGAAGATCTCCACAGATCTGCGACAACCTATGCATGCTATCTTGAATGCGCACGCTTTACATGATACTTAAGAAGACATTGTTACAGTAACCTCGAAATGTGGCCATGGATGTGTTACTAATTTTAAGGTTGAAAGTTACATTAGTTTGTAAGACTTTTGTACTGTAAACTTTCCAGTAATGTACTCTTAAACCAAAGTTTCTTTGGATTTTACAGTAACATATTTTTTTTACAGTAATTTACAGGTAACTGGCTGTCAATAAATTACCGTAAAAACAACAGGATTATTTTTACAGTGTATTTACTATATTTCAAAACTAATATTGACTTGTGTTTAGTTGACAAATCAACTAAATATCAATATTTAAAGGAGAAGTGTCTACTGCTTCGATAATTCCATCTGAGCGACTGGCTTAGTCCCATTCTTTGACTTTTATTTTTGGAGTTTAAGATGTGAATCCAACAAATCATTTCTTAACTTTGTCAACAAGTTAATAAGCTATTTATTGTATTTCAAAAGTGATATTGAATTGTGTTTGGTTGTCAATGCAACCAAATATCAACATTTGAAGGAGATGCATCTTTTGCTTGGATAGTTCCATCCGTCCCACTGACGTAGTCTGGCTTTAATTCCAGTTTGTCTACAAAAGAATAATTGATATGTTGGATTCTCCAGCTCAACCAAAAATGTAAGTTAAAGAACAAGACTAAATAAAATAAAACATTTAATGCACTGTTAATAAAGTTTGATTTGATTTAGTCCTATTCTTTAATCCAAGCAGAATATACTTCTCAGAATATATTTCTCCTAGGCCTATATGTATTGTCTATTTTTTGTTGAATCCTGGGTTGAATTGAAACAATAGCTGTTGATGATTTCACAAATACTATATACAGTAGGCCTACATAGCATCATTGATGATATACTGTATGAATGATAAATTATGGTCACATTTAATTTGCTCTGTCAAACCTATCCTACTCTCAACAATCATTCTCATGATAGCACATTGGTAATAGTCAGTGGGCTAAATTAAAACCCTGGATGGGAGAGCGAAGGGTAGCTGTAGATAGATACATTCTCAAGTAGGAGGTGCTGCCCAGCCTATAGTTGTTTTTCTAATAGTGAATATAACGTTGAAGAATATAACCTAGAAGATCTGATGTTGTTTTAAAGGTTTGTCTATGTTAAAATCTGGTTACAATGATGATGGCATAATCCTGTGGTTGAGATTTTACCTTCAAAACAGCCATTTACATTGATGACTTTTTGCAAATCCGATGTATTTTCCACATAGATTCCACTTCACAATACGTGGAAAAATTATGTTGAAACAACTTTGATTCAACCCGTCTTTTCCCAGTGGAAAGTCTTTTTTTCTCTCAGGGAATGTGACCACACAATAGAGCTACACCTGATTAACTGTAAGGTGTTACTACAGTGCCTTGCAAAAGTATTCAACCCTTGGCATTTTTCCTATTATGTTGCATTACAACCTGTAATTTATATTGATTTTTATTTGGATTTCATGTAATGGACATACACAAAATAGTCCAAATTGGTAAACTGAAATGAAAAAAATTAATAACGGGAAAGTGGTGCGTGCATATGTGTTCACCCCATTTGCTATGAAGCCCCTAAATAAGATCTGGTGCAGCCAATTACCTTCAGAATTCACATAATTAATTAAATAAAGTCCACCTGTGTGCAATCTAAGTGTCACATGATCTGTCACATGATCTCAGTATATATACACCTGTTCTGAAAATCCCCAGAGTCTGCAACACCACTAAGCAAGGGGCACCACCAAGCAAGCGGCACCATGAAGACCAAGGAACTCTCCAAACAGGTCAGGGACAAAGTTGTGGAGAAGTACAGATCTTTGAACATCCCACGGAGCACCATTAAATCCAATATAAAAACATTGAAAGAATATGGCACCACAACAAACCTGCCAAGAGAGGGCCGCCCACCACAACTCATGGACCAGGCAAGGGCATTAATCAGAGAGGCAACAAAGAGAACAAAGATAACCCTGAAGGAGCTGCAAAGCTCCACAGCAGAGATTGGAGTATCTGTCCATAGGACCACTTTATGCTGTACACTCCACAGAGCTGGGCTTTACGGAAGAGTGACCAGAAAAAAAGCCATCGCTTAAAGTAAAAAATAAGCAAACACGTTTGGTGTTCGCCAAAAGGCATGTGGGAGACTCCCCAAACATATGGAAGAAGATACTCTGGTCAGATGAGACTAAAATTTAGCTTTTTGGCCATCAAGGAAAACTCTATATCTGGCACAAACCCAACACCTCTCATCACCCCGAGTACACCATCCCTACAGTGAAGCATGGTGGTGGCAGCATCATGCTGTGTTTTTCATCGTCAGGGACTGGGAAACTGGTCAGAATTGAAGGAACGATGGATGGCGCTAAATACAGGGAAATTCTTGAGGGAAACCTGTTTCAGTCTTCCAGAGATTTGAGACTGGGACGGAGGTTCACCTTCCAGCAGGACAATGACCCTATGCATACTGCTAAAGCAACACTCGAGTGGTTTAAGGGGAAACATTTAAATGTATTAGAATGGCCTAGTCAAAGCCCAGACCTCAATCCAATTGAGAATCTGTGGTATGACTTAAAGATTGCTGTACACCAGCGGAACCCATCCAGGTGGCTCTACAAAGTATTGACTTTGGGGGGGGTGAATAGTTATGCATGCTAAAGTTTTCAGTTTTTTTTTGGTCTTATTTCTTGTTTGTTTCACAATAAAAAATATTTTGCATCTTCAAAGTGGTAGGCATGTTGTGTAACTCAAATGATACAAACCTCCAAAAAATCCATTTTAATTCCAGGTTGTAAGGCAACAAAATAGGAAAAATGCCAAGGGGGGTGAATACTTTCGCAAGTCACTTTATGTGGTCAAGTTTCCCACACAAGATGTGAAAGAAGAAACCAAAGTTAAACAGAGAGAAGAAGGAGAGGGAATTTTGCATGTAAAGACTTACACTTCTGATATTTGAAGTATTTGGCGCTGTGATTATTTCTCCAAGGGCTTCAGTAGAATATAATAGAACAAACCTATCCATTTGCCATGGTTTGCTGCAGAGCAGCGCCCCTAAAGTGGGTTGGGGGCTAAGTGCGGCTAAGTGCCTTGCTCAAGCAGTGGGTAGGACCTTCGTATATTGAGTTGTCTGGATGGGGTGTCTTCTAGGCCTCTATGCTTCTAGGCTCTCCCTAGTAACATCCATTAGATCTACACCTTCACTATACCCCAAACCTAACCCTACCCTAACCTTGCTTGCAGCCCATCCTTGAGTAACATCCACTGTCCAAATGTTGAAATGATTTCTGTTGATGCAGTGTCTTTGCTCCTAAATATTGGAGTAAACAATTTTGTGGTGTCAGCCGTGTTTCACGAGGAACCAAAACCACAAAAAAAGGAAACAGGCCCAAAATGCGACCCTGCTGCAACCAACACAACTGATGATGTGTGCAGATAAAGCACACTGTGTCACCTGATTATGTGTGTGTGTTTGTTGCGTGTGTGTCTGTGTGTGTGTGTGTGTGTGGTGTGGTGGTGTGTGTGTGTGTGTGTGTGTGTGTGTGTGTGTGTGTGTGTGTGTGTGTGTGTGTGTGTGTGTGTGTGTGTGTGTGTGTGTGTGTGTGTGTGTGTGTGACAGTGCAGTAGGGGGTTTAATTGTGAGACAACAGTGCAGTCATGTGTAGTGTGTTTCAGTTGTTGAGCAGAGCCTGTTGAAGGTATAGAAGGTGGTGTGGTTAGTCACTGTGTGCACAGCTAGACACACTCATGGAGTCATACATTTCCTGTTGCTGGCTAGTGCTCTACCTTTTCTTTGGTAAGATCTTCATCGTAGTAGTCTAATAAACAGTCAAATGAAAGACTAATTTGATATAATCGCTTTCACCATTGTAGGCGGTGCTTCTACAGTAACCATCCGAGGCTATGTCGGTGACGTTGTGACCCTAACATGTAAGTATGATGCCCAGTATTATGGTCCGCTCTCTGTCTGCTGGGGTCGTGGTCACATCCCCAACAGCGGCTGTGACAATGAGGTCATCAGGACGGAGGGGGTCAAAGTGACCCACAGTGCTTCGGTCCGGTATCATCTCCAGGGTGATCTGAGGGCAGGGGACGTCTCTCTGACCATCATCCAAGCACAGATGAAGGATTCTGGGATATACGGCTGCCGTGTGGACATACCTGGATGGTTTAATGACCAGAAACACCATCTGGCACTCGACATCCAGCCCGGTGAGAGAACAAGGGTGCATTTAAGCCATTTAGTCATTTAGACAGTCATTTCATCAGATTAAAAGTTTACTGAAAACTTTCTGTAGAACAGGGAAGGCTATCTATGCAATGTCAACAAGACTATCTTGACCATCATCTATACTTATCTATAGGGGAGAGTGGGGGGTAAGTTGAGCTACCCTTGATTCTAGGAAACCATACACAAAATGTGACCAAATATTTAGGACGAGGTCATCATTTCATGGAGTCTGTGATGGAAGAAATTACATGGAAAAGTGGTAAGCAAGTTAGGTCCCCCCCCCCAAAAAAAAATGTCACCAAATGAATTTATTGTGTTAGAGGTTTCATGATATCTTTGTTAGAAATAATTCTATATTTCCCTTGAGTGATGCTGAATGTAAACAATTGCTCAACGTACCCCACTCTTCCCTACATCAAATTCAATCAGTCCATTTGAATCTATTTCAGCTCCTGACACAACCCCTGAACCGTGGATCCCTGGAGAGAGCACAACAGTTGGCTACCCAGAAGGTATTACGTTTACAATCGCTATTAGTTTGTGTTAAATGCAGTGGTGGAAAAAGTACCCCATTTTCATACTTGAGTGAAAGTAAAGATACCTTAATAGAAAATGACTCAAGTAAAAATTACACAATTTTCCTGTCCTGCTAAGCCTTCAAAATGTAAAGAGTACTTTTGGGTGTCAGAGAAAATGTATGACGTAATTTCATCTATTTGTCAGAACAAACCACAACAATGCAGACAACGATGGTTTTAACAGGTAAAATCAAATCACCTACTCTATTATATTACATCCTGTATCACTTTACAAGGTACCATCTAGAAAGATATCTCTAATAACTCAGATAACTGGGTTGTCTCCAGTACCTCCAGACCCTCCCACTGTGGCAATCCGAGAAATATCAGCCAGGTCCATCTCTGTATGGTGGAGCGCTGGCTTCGATGGAAACACCCCCATCACAGGTTACCACCTGGAATGCAAGAGCCAAACTGGTAAAACAGAAATAACAAAACTTAAACTTCCTAATAGCTTGAATGAATGGGTGCTACCAATAGTAAACGTAATACAATTTGAATGTTTACTCACTCTGTATGATTTCTTCGTAATTTTTGCTAACAGACTCCTGGGTAGATGCAGTACGAGGCAGCAATGTTCTGCCTTGGGAGAGAGAGACTGCTATCAATGACCTGCGACCCTTTTCCACCTACAACATCCGCATGTTCACCAAGAACAACATGGGCTTGAGTAAACCTAGCAATGTGCTCACCATCACCACTAAGGATGCAGGTATATCAAACAACCTGAGGCTAAATGCCAAATGAGATTTGCCTACAGTAATTATAGCAATCCGCCTCTGTCACTATCTCTGTCATCTCTCTGTCACTTCGAACTAAGCAAATGTCATAATTTGTAAAGTATCTGAAAAATATGTTCTCCCTCTAGCCCCTGATGGTCCCCCACAGGATGTGAAGCTTCAAGCCCTGTCTTCCCATAGCATCAAAATCACATGGAGGGTACCTTTGCTCTTTTGACCTGTTTTTAACGGAGTCCAGCCCAACATTTACATGCCACAATTTATTGGTCTTTTATTTGGTCAATTGTCTTGTCCTCTTCCCCGTGCAGGCCCCTGAGTTGTCCCTCCAGAACGGGCTGATCCGGGGCTACCAGCTCCGCTACAGTGAGTACAGTCCCCATGAACGGCTTCCTGTCAGGGTGGTGCATCTGATGGACGGAGCAGAGAGCTTCACCATGAACAACCTGCAGGAGGCGACAGAGTACAGTGTGACGCTGCACACTATCAACAATGCAGGCCTGGGGCCGTCTTCACAGGAGCTTGTCTGCTCCACTCTGACTAATGGTGAGGAGAGGTTTTCAATGGTTAGCTTTTGTGAAGTGAAGTGGAATTACGACTCTCCCCATAGTTATTCAAGTAAGGAAAACTCACACATGAATTGGTTATGTGCATGTATTCAACTACCAATATTCTTATCTTCTTTGTCAGATGATCAGCAGCATATGACAACAACTCAAGCAACAACAGAAGTTCAGACAGGTAATAACCTGATTCCAACAATTTATTGGGAGAGATTTTAACTATGAGAAAATGAAACTGCAGTTGAGTATAGGCTACTTGCCACTAGGTGCTATTGATCATGTTTACCTGTAATGTCTTTCAAGAACATTCAACCTCAACCATTGCGACAACAACTTCTTCAACTGAGACATGGCTGCTTGTCACTGACAGTCCCACTCAAGGTAGGCTATTGTGTTACTTTTCACAGTGCATAATTATACAACCCAAAGCACAACTCCTCTATTCTGCAAAATAGTAAACACATATCCACTTCCTCTAACAACCGACTCACCAGCGTCTCATCTCTTTGTCCTGTTTCCTGTACCATGTAGGTCAGAGGGTAGACGACTTCTCAACTGCAAGTCCACTAAGTAACTCTACTACTGACCCAGTATTGAGTAAAAAAGTGTGTTCACATTTCTGTATTCTGTATTTGGATACTTAAAATGTGCATTGTTGACAATATTAGTAGTACAGTACCAAACTAATAACTTATGTTTTTATTCCAGCTGGGTACTGAGGAACAGAGCGGTCATCTTGTTGCCATCCTAGTGCCAGCTCTGGTGGTGGGGCTGCTTGTTGTCATGGCAATCATATGGCAATTTAGGCGTGAGTAGGCCTACAGAATTATAGATTATCATATGGATCACTTTTCAGATATTTTTGATTCTCTCCTAATCTATCCCCCTCTCTTTAGGTACAACATTTAAAAAAGGCAACTGGAATATGTAAGTGGTATCTAAAGTAATAAATATCAATATCCCACTTCGTCATTTGATCTATAGTTCTACACGTCCCTCTCTGATACTAAATTGTCTCATCTCTCCCTCATTCAGACTATGGAAGAACAACGACTTTCTGTCCTTCGGGGACTCTGAGCCAGCACTGTAGAGACCACTGGGATGCTAGAATTCACATCAAGATTATGCAGTAGTCACAGTGGGATTAACATAAAGTGTAAGATGATACATATATGATTTCAAATATACCATAGTGATAGGAAGTGTTACTAATCAACAGGGGCCTCCCACTGAATTGATGTTGAAAGCATTCTTGTCTTACAATGGGATGTGACATTTGTGTGCACATGTTAATAAATGCTTGCTTATAGCTCGTCTGACTCTTTCTTATGGGCTCACGCACGGATCCAGTTGCTATCAACAATTTCATGGGTCCAGTCGCTTTCAACAATTTTGGAAACACTACACCACATTTACAGTAATACTCCAATTCAACATCCAGCCTGTCCTAACCATAGCCACCAGGGGGGCAGAGACACACGGTTGTATAAGAGGGGACTGCTCACTCAGCCCTCTATCTCTCAGAGCCTGCATGCATTCCTCCAAGGGCCGGCTCTGAGGCTCTCTGAGGCGCTGTAGCTGCTGGATTTCCACCCATCTGTCCTGTAAATCTCTTAATTGGTCTAATTAATGTGCTGAATTTGGAGATGTGTTACCTCTGTGGAGCCAGGCCCAGGCAGCAGCTGTTACTGAGGGAGTTCCCCACAAACGGGGGAGCGGAGGGGGGATACCCACCCAGGCCTCTCCCTCTCCCCACTCCCTTAGCCCCACTGCAGGGCCCACATGGTGGAGTTAGGATGGAGGGATGGATGGATGTCCTCACTGACAGATAATCAGGGTTTCACTTAGATGTTTATTTTTATTTTGTTAGGGCTCTAAAGCTTCTCAAGCATCATCCAAATACTTTCTTCACTCAAAGCCCTCCTTGTAGATCAGTTTCTGAGTATGAAAATAATCAAAAAGTTTAAGCTGCTGGACCATGCCACTCAAGGCCACGGGTAAAAATCCCTTTCTTCAAAATTCTTCACCTCTTCCTACCCTGTATTCCAGCTAGAGCATGGACCATGGCACTCAAGGAAGCACATGTTGTACGATTGGTGCCAGGAGTTTGTTTGGCTGAGCAGGAAAATCCCCACTGTTACCCATAGCAGTATGATACTACCCTTCCACTCTCCATGCCATGCTGTGACTATGGCCTAAACACACTGGTGCCACATCCCTCCTCTCTGCTTGAGGACTTCCTTCCATCTCTGCCTCTGTCTGCCTCTCTTTCTTTTTCTCTATTTGTCTCTCTCTCTTTCGCTCTCATTCTCTGTCCTGTCCTATAAAAACATACACCGTTGATCCCTCTGTCCTGGGGCCATACTTCCTTCCGTCCATCCTTCCATCCCTCCATCCCTCCATCCCTCCATCCCTCCATCCCAACCCCACTGATTACTCAGATGAAGGGTAGATAAACAAACAGAGGGATGGGGGGAAGACGGATCGAGGAATGGAGGGAAGGAGGGAAGGAGGAGTGGCGGGGTGTCTTTGATGCTGTTGAACGCACATTCAGATTGATTAGAGAGAGCCTTTGATCGGTCATGGAGCCACCAGCTGATGGAGTCTTGGCCCCACTTATCCTCGCATGGCCCCCAAGGCCCTTCTAGGCCCCTGCCTGGCACCCAACCAAATTAGAAATAAGGAAACAGAAGAATGAGATAAATACAAACACCCTTTATTTCAACAACCCTAGCATGAGCTGCTCCTTCTCCATCAGCAACACTGTCTCACACCCCATCCAACCCCCTTCAACCCCCCTCCCCTACCTAATAGAATCCAGTGGCAGTTGTTAGTTCAAGGCCTCAGCTTTTGCATGCAGGTTGGGTAGAAGGGATGGTGGGTATAGTGGTGGGGATGGAGTTAGTATTGCAATACATCAACACAATGGCTTTGGCCACATCAAGGCTTTATGGTTCAGGAAGGGGAAGCTATGTACTGTACCACACACACCAAAGCCTGAGCTCCATGGGGGGCTAGTCCACAGGCCTGACTGCCCCAACTCGGGTGAATGTCCCTGGGCCTGAGGAGAGCCAGATGTGGCCCCTTCTGGAGCTCCCTATGAAGTCCTGAGGAAGGAGCAGATGAGAGCAAGAAACGGAAGGAAACCGAAAGATGAGGGGGGTGGGGGCAGAACAAGAAAGAGGGGAGGTGGCTGTAGGGAGGGTGGGGGATAGAGGGGTAACACTGGTGGTTTTTGGGGGAGAAGGGGCTGGCATTTCCGTGATGAAAGAAACCCTAATAGATTCAAGCCTTCTCATAAGCCAGACCCCTAAACAAAAGGAGGGTGCGCATTAACTTTACAATTTGTAGTAGCAGAAATACATGGATACACTCAGGATTGGAATAAGATAGACAGGTGGGATAGAGTGGTGAAGAATGCTATTTTTCAGAATAATGCACTCAATGGATTGTGAAGGAACCTTTTAGATGCTGTTTGAGAAGAGAAAAAGGGAAATGGATAAAAACAAAATAATAATTGCTTTGCTTGCTCTTTGATGGAGTGATCATTAGGGGTTTGGCTTTACTTAGTTGTCTATATCGTTGAAGTGCATAACATGTTTCTGTGTATAATTATATGTATGTGTGTGTGTGTGTGTGTGTGTGTGTGTGTGTGTGTGTGTGTGTGTGTGTGTGTGCGTGTGTGTGTGTATGTGTGTGTGCGTGCATTGATGTGATTAACCAACCTTAGCCAGATGGAACGCTGTGCACATGATTGAAGGTCAGATATAACAGTTACCATGGAGACATTGCCAAGTTAGACTAAACCGGGTGGTTCTCCTCTATCTTCTCCCCCTTGGACCGCCATCAAGAAGAGTGTGTGTGTGTGTGTGTGTTTGCACTGAAAAAAGCTCTATTCAATCAAACTTGGAATGCAGCATTCACACAAGAACATATGAACTCATCCCCTTTAGCTGTTCAGAGTTCATTATATGTGTGTTTATTTATTTAATTTTTTTAACCTTTATTTAACCAGGTAGGCCAGTTGAGAACAAGTTCTCATTTACAACTGTGACCTGGCCAAGATAAAGCAAAGCAGTGCGATAAAAACAACAACAACACAGAGTTACATATGGAATAAACAAAACGTACAGTCAATAACACAATAGAAAATCTATATACAGTGTGTACAAAAGTTATGGAGGTAAGGCAATAAATAGGCCATAGTGCAAAATAATTACAATTTAGTATTAACACTGGAGTGATAGATGTGCAGAAGATGATGTGCAAATAGAGATACTGGGGTGCAAATTAGCAAAATAAATAACAATATGGGGATGAGGTAGTTGGGTGGGATAATTACAGATGGGCTGTGTACAGGTGCAGTGATCGGTAAGCTGCTCTGACAACTGATGCTTAAAGTTAGTGAGGGAGATAAGAGTCTCCAGCTTCAGAGATTTTTGCAGTTTGTTCCAGTCGTTTGCAGCAGAGAACTGGAAGGAATGGCGGCCAAAGGAGGTGTTGGCTTTGGGGATGACCAGTGAGATATACCTACTGGAACGCATACTTTGGGTGGGTGTTGCTACGTTGACCAATGATCTAAGATAGGTCGGGGATTTGCCTAGAAGTGATTTCTAGATGACCTGGAGCCAGTGGGTTTGGCGACGAATATGTAATGAGGGCCAGTCAACGAGAGCGTACAGGTCACAATGGTGGGTAGTATATGGGGCTTTGGTGACAAAACGGATGGCACTGTGATAGACTAGCATCCAATTTGCTGAGTAGAGTGTTGGAAGCTATTTTATAAATGACATCGCTGAAGTCAAGGATCGGTAGGATAGTCAGTTTTACGAGGGCATGTTTGGCAGCATGAGTGAAGGAGACTTTGTTGCGAAATAGGAAGCCGATTCTAGATTTAACTTTGGATTGGAGATGCTTAATGTGAGTCTGGAAGGAGAGTTTACGGTCTAACCAGACACCTAGGTATTTGTAGTTGTCCACATATTCTAAGTCAGACCCGCAGAGAGTAGTGATTCTAGTTGGGCGGGCGGGTGAAAGCAGCGTTCGATTGAAGAGCATGCATTTAGTTTTACTAGCGTTTAAGAGCAGTTGGAGGCCACAGAAGGAGTGTTGTATGGCATTGAAGCTTCGTTTGGAGGTTTGTTAACACAGTGTCCAGTGAAGGGCCAGATGTATACAAAATGGTGTCGTCTGCGTAGAGGTGGATCTGAGAGTCACCAGCAGCAAGAGCGACATCATTGATATACACAGAGACTAGAGTCTGCCCGAGAATTGAACCCTGTGGCACCCCAATAGAGACTGTCAGAGGTCCAGACAACAGACCCTCCGATTTGACACATTGAACTCTATCTGAGAAGTAGTTGGTGAACCAGGTGAGGCAGTCATTTGAGAAACCAAGGCTATTTAGTCTGCCAATAAGATTGCGGTGATTGACAGAGTCAAAAGCCTTGGCCAGGTCGATGAAGAAGGCTGCACAGTACTGTCTTTTATCGATCGCGGTTATTATATCGTTTAGGACCTTGAGCGTGGCTGAGGTGCACCCATGACCAGCTCGGAAACCAGATTGCATAGCGGAGAAGGTACGGTGGGATTTGAAATGGTCAGTGATCTGTTTGTTAACTTGGCTTTCAAATACTTTCGAAAGGCAGGGCAGGATGGATATAGTCTGTAACAGTTTGGATCTAGAGTGTCACCCCCTTTGAAGAGGGGGATGACCGCGGCAGCTTTCCAATCTCTGATACGAAAGAGAGGTTGAACAGGCTAGTAATAGGGGTTGCGACAATTTCGGCAGCTAATTTTAGAAAGAAAGGGTCCAGATTGTCTAGCCCAGCTGATTTGTAGGGGTCCAGATTTAGCAGCTCTTTCAGGACATCAGCTTTCTGAATTTGGGTGAAGGAGAAGCGGGGGGGGGGGGCAGGTTGTAGCGGGGGGTGCAGAGCTGGTGGCCGGTGTAGGGGTAGCCAGGTGGAAAGCATGGCCAGCCGTAGCAAAATGCTTATTGAAATTCTCGATTATCGCAGATTTATCGGTGGTGACAGTGTTTCCTAGCCTCTGTGCAGTGGGTAGCTGGGAAGAGGTGCTCTTATTCTCCATGGACTTTACAGTGTTCCAAACATTTTTGGAGTTAGTGCTACAGGAAGCAAATTTCTGTTTGAAAAAGCTAGCCTTTGCTTTCCTAACTGATTGTGTATATTGGTTCCTGACTTCCCTGAAAAGTTGTATTTCGCGGGGGCTGTTCGATGCTAATGCAGTACGCCACAGGATGTTTTGTGCTGGTCAAGGGCAGTCAAGTTTGGGGTGAACCA